GGCGCTTCCCGGCCGCGGTGGCTGTGCCAGGCCTTCTCCTGCAGCCGCGTGACCGGCGCTTGGCGGCCTGTCGAAGCCTTTTCATTGCGATGCTGTCCCACGTGCCCGAGAGTCCCCGACCTTTGCCCGCGCAGAGTGCACCTCCCCGGCTGTCCTCCTTCGGCTTGAGGTCTTGCTGTTCTTGGGAGGACAAGGGGTTTTCTTTCTTTCTTTTTGTTAAGTTTATTTATTTATTTTGAGAGACAGTGCACGAGCAGGGGAGCAGGGGTCGGGGGTGGGGAGAGAGAGTCCAAAGCAGGCTCCAGGCCATCAGCCCAGACAGAGCCCGACGAGGAGCACGATCCTGTGAACTGTGAGATCGTGACCTGAGCCGAAACCGAGGGTCACGCTTAACCGACTGAGCCACCCGGGCGCCCCACGAGTGATTTTCAGCTGAAGCCTGGGTGGTTTCACGGCACGTTATGAGAGCCTCGACCTTACTCAAACTTCGCATTTGGCTGTCTCCCCCTGGCTGTGCTCCGGCAGCACGGTGGACGCACCTGGCCCTGGTGGGGAGCCTGGGGTCCTTGTTGCTGCCGGGCCAAGGGGTCACCTCGGGTCACCCCCCAGGGTCGCCACAGACACAGGGCGGGTGGGTGTTCATGTTACAACCAGGTGAACGTCAACGTCTGACTCTGACACCTCCCAGCCTGGGGTGAGGGTCTCATTACTTGTCCTGGCCCCAGCCACCAGGGTCTCCACGGACACTGCATAGTCAGGGGGTGCTCATTACCGGCTGGCCCGGAGGAAGATCCTGACCCCCCACTCTGCATTCTCTGAGACCAGTGACGGGGGCATGGTTTGTGGTATTGGCCTATGGGAGAGCAAGTGACTGTCTGAAGCTTTCCTGTTCCGCAAGGGGGTCCCTCTGTGGGTTTCTCCTGGAGAGATCAGGCCACTCTTTGGGCTTTGTGTCTGCCCGTTGGTGTTTTGCGTCACTGGCTCCTGGCCCTCTTCCGTCAGCCCTCGAGTCAGCTCTCTGTGTTCCCCTGCCGGCGCCCCCAGGAGGATGGCAGAGGCCCAGCTGCCTTCCTGGGAGTAAAGTCAACTTGTGATTCAGAATAGACCGTGAATCTTTTGTGTTTCATTTCCTCTTGCATTTACGGTCTCGTTTTTGGGGAGCTCTGCGAGCAGCATGGCATGGGAGCCTTGCAGGTCGGGAAGAGGGAGCTCTCCGTCCTGAGGGTTTAGTCCACCAGAACTCCCCACGTTAGACGAAACTGAGCCATTACACGTTACCACAGTAAAAGAGCTGTGCGGTAACGTATTAGCTGCTTTCCAAACGGGAAAGGAACACAACGCTAAGAATGGCTTGTCTTGCCCTTTTGTGACTCTCTTGCTCCCACCGGCCTCTGCACCTGCCTGTTGTGCTCCGCCCTTTGATGGAAACACAGGAGGAAATTCTGCC